AAAAAGAAATGGCGACCGAGACAGTAGCTCAATTGAAAAGGGAATTAGAAGCCGTCAAGAAAAATCTTCAAGAAGAAGAAACTGCAAGAGCCAACGCTGAAATCGCCCTTGCCTCCGCCAGAGGAGCCTTGGAAGCCATCGAACGTGACCGTGAACGTGAAAGGAGAAACAGGACAAATGCGGTGAGTGGCAAACTACCATTGTTTTGGGCAGACAAACCCAGTGTGTGGTTCGCTCAGGCTGAATCAAATTTTGCAACAAATAATATTACCCAAGATAGCCAAAAATACCATTTGGTTGTGGGTCAGCTTGACACAGCTACCGCTGCTGAGGTCGAGGATATTATCAGTGGTCCTGTGGCAGACCGTACTTATGAAAATTTGAAAACCAGCTTGATATCTCGCCTGTCTGATTCTGAACAAAAACGTGTTCGGAAATTGATTTCTGAAGAGGAAATCGGTGATCGCAAGCCATCGCAATTTCTGCGACACTTGCGTTCACTAGCTGGGTCTAGTGCTACTGTGAGCGAAGCGCTGCTTTCCCAAATTTGGTTGCAGCGCCTTCCTGCAACGGCTTCGGCCATTTTGTCCTCTCACTCCAATTTGGATTTAAATGCACTGGCTGCAATGGCCGATAAGATAGTTGAGCAGGTCGCTTCAGTGACACCCAGTAATGTTCTGGCTGTAAGAGACCCACCTCCCTCCCCTGATGTGTCCGCAATGATTTTGGATACACTGCAAAAATTGAATCTGAAAATTGAGAGCATTACGGCCCCACCTGGCCGACGAGACGAGCGCCAGCCTCGCTCACGCTCCCAGAGTAATTTTCGGGACAACCGAAATTTCTCTCGCACTCGTGACAGTTCTCGTAGTGCTGGAACCTCCCGCCCTACCCGGGACAGACAGGACGAAATGTGCTGGTACCACTCTCGCCACGGCGAGAAGGCGCACAAGTGTGTGCAACCCTGTTCTTTCAAACCGGGAAACGGCAGTGGCAGCCAATAAATGCGGCAGTTGGTTGTCACTCAGGTAGCCGCCTTGTTGTCACCGACAGGACCACAAAACGACAATATCTCGTCGATTCTGGTTCTGATCTGACTTGCTACCCCCGTCGCTTAATTACTGGTCGTCATGTGCAACCGACAAACCATGTCCTTAGCGCCGCCAACGGCAGTGATATCAAAACTTATGGCCTTTTACCTCAAGTGTTGGACTTTGGACTTCGAAGAGCCTTCTCTTGGTCTTTTGTTATCGCTGACGTTAATATGCCCATTATTGGTAATGATTTTCTTGCTCATTACCATTTACTTCCGGACTGCAAATTCAAACGGCTTGTCGATGGAAAAACGGGTTTGCACACGCTCGCCCGCACTACCGCCACAGCCCAAGACAGCGTAAAGGCAGTGCATGAGTCACAGCCCTATGCTGATCTGCTTGCCGAATTTCCGGATATTGCACGTCCTCCTGGAAAAATGCGTGAAATTAAGCACAAGACTGTGCATTACATACGCACCACCCCCGGCCCACCCGTGTCTTGCCGCCCCAGGCGCCTCGCCCCCGAAAAGTTTAACACAGCAAAGGCCGAGTTTACGAGCATGTTAGAAAATGGCGCTGCGCGCCCGTCTGACAGCCCTTGGTCTTCTGGTCTCCACATGGTGACTAAGAAGGGCGGAACTGGCTGGAGACCCACGGGAGACTACAGAGGTCTTAATGCTCGTACGATACCTGATTGCTACCCGGTGCGTCACATTCATGATTTTTCATACAATATTGCTGGATGTAAAATTTTTGCACTATTGGATTTGGTTAAAGCTTATCAACAAATACCAGTCCACCCAGAGGATGTCTGTAAAACGGCTATAGCTACGCCGTTTGGCTTGTTTGAATTTCCATTCATGCCCTTTGGTTTGCGCAACGCTGCCCAAACCTTTCAGAGATTTATGGACGAAGTAACACGCGGCCTAGATTTTTGTTATTGTTACATTGATGACATCCTGATTTTCTCCCGAACGCCGGAAGAACACAGAGAGAACTTAAGGACTATCCTCTCACGACTGTCCCAGTATGGCGTTGTGATCAACCCCAGCAAGTGCATTTTTGAAGCAACTGAACTAGTATTTTTGGGTTATAAAATTACCCCTGAAGGGATTTCTCCCCCTGAAGAGCGCGTCGAAGCCTTGCGTGCATATCCTTTGCCAAAAACGGTCAAGGATGTGCGTCGCTTCCTGGGTATGATAAATTTCTACCGAAGATTTCTCCCGAGAGCAGCTGAATATCAAGCCCCTCTCCACGAAGGCCTCTCCGGCCCCACAATGAAAGGATCAACGCCTTTCCCCTGGACCCCTGAGAGAGAAGAAGCCTTCGCTGCCTGCAAGAATCACCTTGCAGATGCAACACTTTTGGCCTACCCAGTAGAAGGCGCGCGCCTGGCTTTGTTTACAGATGTCTCCCTGACGTCTGCAGGTGCTGTTGTGCAACAAGAAATTAACGGTGCTTGGCAGCCCCTTGGTTTCTTTTCTAAGAAACTCACTGAGCGTCAGTCCGCTTGGCCACCCTATCACCGTGAACTGTTAGGTATCTATGAAGCTGTTCAGCACTTCCGTCACGCTCTAGAAGGTCAGAATTTCACGATTTTCACAGACCATAAACCTTTGGTTTACATGTTTACGCAGAAGAAAGACAAAATGTCTCCTGTTCAACGCAACCAGCTGACTGTCATATCTCAATATACGACAGATATTCAGCACATTAAAGGTTCTGAAAACGTGACGAGTGACGCCTTGTCACGCTGTGACGCTGTCAC